GAACAATACCTCCTTAACGACCGACTCTTAACAATCATAGACAGGTTTCAGGTATTACAGGAGACAATCCCCCCCCTTAACAGCAATCCTCCCCCTTTAACGACCGACCCTCAGAATCATAGACAGGTTTCAGTTATTACCGGCTAACGATGGAACCAAACGACCCATTTATCGGTTACCATTTGCATGTTTCCAAGCGATACGAGGCTTTGTCTATATAAGATTTAAACGCACTGCGGATCCAGACATTTGAATTGAGAACGCTTCATGGAGAGGTAGTGAAACATCTTCAAATCTTGGAAACCAAGTCCAGTGGAAATTTTTTGAATTTTTACGGAATGACTATGACCTGGATGACTGAGAACCTTCATCAGCAAACAGTAGGTCATGTTTGCAGCTCAGTCTGTCCAGAGTTTAACCAGGTTACAGACATAGAAATGTGTTTAAGCCCAATGTTGTTTTTGTGGGGTTTTGGCATGCATGGTTTAGTTTGGGCTTCAAGAGCTGCTGAAAAAGTTCATTTTTTCATCATTTTCATCTCTGTTTCTTCAGACTGAATGAGTGTAACCTCTCAGAGAGAAGCTGTGAAGGTCTGGCCTCAGTTCTCAGCTCCCAGTCCTCTAATCTGAGAGTGATGGACTTGAGTATCAACAACCTGAAGGATTCTGGAGTGAAGCTGCTGTCTTCTGGACTGAAGAGTCCAAACTGCAAACTGGAAATTCTCAGGTCTGAACACCAGTCCAGGACACACTTGAATCATGACATGAACTTAGTGAGCATTGCAGTGTTATTTACTAAGACTTTTACAAGTTAAATCGAAACATATTGAATTAGATCACTAAACTTTGCGAGTGCAGTTTTAGATGAAGGAAAGGTGGACAGAACTTGATATTAATATTTGGATCTTTTAATGTAGTTAGTTGCATAGCTCTGCATTTAACATAATTCCTCAGCTAAAGCAATGTCAAGATGAATATAAACATTGTTGGTACTGGAAAAAAATCTGCTGGGACCCAATTAACTACCTATAAGATCCAATCAGTCTCAACACTATCCATCATATTAAATTGGATGTCCAACAGTAAACCAATCTGTTTGACAGCTCATTAAAGACATTCACAGATGTGTTTCTATTTAAGTCAGAGGTTTAGAGTTCACCTATGAGAAAACAACAAAGTCATGACTTCATCATGGCTAAACACAAAATGTTTACAGAACAACAGACTCCAACAACACATGACAACGATAGCTGGGTTGTTCTTTTGCAAAAAAACAAGGACTTGGATAAAACTGGATCTAGAGACAGTGATGTCATGGGTTCTAATAGGGATGACTACAGCACTACTAATGGGTTTTACAGTCCAAGTGTTTATTGTTGTGATTGTGATAACATTGAGCAGAGAAGTGTAGTCAGTATGTGATGAGGCAGTGTACAGGCAGCGCTCCTAGTCCACTCCTGTTAACCTGGATCCTCTGGTTTTACACTTTGCTAGAATCAATCTGATGATGGAGATGAGCTGACTCATTATTTTCTNTCCATCAAACTGTGGGAGCATCAGATCTGATCTCAGACTCTTTGTTCTCTCATTTCAACAGGAAAGAACTGATCAGTTTCATCTTAGCCACAGCTCTGAGATCAGTCTGAATGCAGCCTGGAAATCAGTGGCTCTGATTTCACAAACCATCATTCCATTTAGTCACCATGTGGTCTTTCTACCAGGGGCGGATCTAGAAACATATTTATGGGGTGGCGAGAGGGGGGCAGGAACTTTTGAGGGGTGGCAACATATGGCATTTGTTTACACTGAATTTAATCACAGTTATCACAGTTTGGTGAAAATAGTAAGTACAGTAAGTGTTTCATGTGAAACAGTTCATATTAGAAATACATCGTACAATTTGATCTCACCTAATAGGAGATAGAAGAATGATAACAATACTTCTAGAGGGGCATTATCACAGGTATTAAGGTAAGACACAGGTGCTGAGTCGCAGATGTGTGAGATTGACTGTCAGAGAGGCAGCTGTGCAGCATTTGCACAAGAAGAAACTATAGAAAAAAATAGTTATCCATCAGAGATCTATGGACTGAGCTGTACTAAAGTGAGCAGAACTACACATTAGAAATAAATGGGTCAAGGCACCCAAACAAGGTACCGGATATCCATGTATTGTTTACTCTGAACACACATTTACCCATTTTTTTCTGAGTAACTTGATAGAGCTGCTGTATCAACAAATCAACAAAAAGGCAGGTTCTGTATGTTACATCAAAATCTCCACAAATCTGAAAAGAAGCAACATAAAAATACATTTTGCTTCCAGTCTGAAAAAGTAAAAAAAAATGTTGTGAGTAGGTTCATACAGGTCATTCCTGGATAGTTGATACTATATATATAAAAAAAAAAAAAGAAACAACACTGCTGCATATTCAGCAGGATTTACACCAGTATCACATTTTTAACTTTACTTTGAACTCTTTTGGTTATATTAAAGGAAATCTCAGATTTTCTCAGGTGCCAAAACAAAATGTAACAGCTCTGTAAAGGCTCACCAGAGATCATAACAGAAAGTTGACATGACTATAACAGCTGAATGTGGCAATTTCCATGTTGCTCAGCAAAACGCTTCACAAATGTATTTAGATCTAATGCCTTTGTGCGTTTTGATTTGAGTTCAACCAAACTTGATAGTCTCTTTTCTGTCATAGTTGACCGCAAATATTTCTTTATGAGGCTGAGACGTCAGGCTTAACTAACATCATAGTTAGAGAAATAACATTCTGCAACCTGATTTTTATCATCTGTAAATCAGCATTGCAGCAATGCTAGCAACATTGTGCTTTCATTATGATTTAATTTCTCTATAGATAGTTAATCAATTTTTACCTGTTTCATCCCATGTCTCCTCTCCCCATGACCCCTGGCTCCCTCGCTTTGACCCATTCGGTTTTCAAAACAAATCATTCTCAGTCGCTCTCGCGTCATCTCGTGCTGCATTCACTGCAGTCCGACATTGGAAATTAGCGGTCGTAATTCCATAATTTATAAGCCTTGCCACCCCTACCTCCAACTGGGGTGGCAGCAAGGGTGGCAAAGCTATCATTTAGGGGTGGCATTTGCCACCCTATGCCACCCAAGTAGATCCACCTGTGGCAGTCTCCACAATAAAGGCGGCCTTGGCCATCACACTCCCCCCCAGCGGGACCTTCCAGAGAAGCCCCGGTCCAATTTGGCTGTACCTTTATGGCCATGATGGCCCCGGGACATGGGGTCACCACCGCGCTGTCCCGGAATAACGTAGCACGGTGGGTCAGTAAACGAAATAGAAGTCTGGCCCAATGATCCCCTTCTCCAGTCACAGTCTGCTCGGAAACCCGGCGCCTGGGAGCAAATTAAGAGAAGAGAGACTAGAGCGGAGAGAAGAGGTATTAAACAGGGGCACGGGACAGGGCACCAGCCATAACATTTTCTGTTCCCTTGATATGTTTTTGTTTTTTTTTACTTTGTTTATTGAACATTTTGAATATAAGACAGACATAGTTGGGACAAATTCAAAGTGTCAATACAACCTCAATGTCACAGTTCTGTCAACCCCCCAATCCACCCTGACCACCCACCCCACCCACAGGCCAAAAAATAAATAAATAAACAAATGAATAAAATAAAATATATATATATAAATAAAAAAAATAAAATAAAAATAAAATACAGTAAAAAAAATAAATAAATAAAAATAAAAATAAATAAATAAATAAAAAATAAATAAAAAAGGGTAGATTTGGATGTAAATGTAGATAAATAAGTAGAGATCGTGTTAGACATTCAAGTATCCTCAGGGTCAAGAAGATTCAAAGAATCAAAATATCTAATAAAAGGGTCCCATGTAGCCTGAAATTTCTTGACGGATCCTCTAAGAGAAAACCTCAATTTCTCTACTTTGAGGTTGTAAAGCACCTCTCGAATCCAGCGGGCATGTGAAGGGGGTTGAGAATCTTTCCAGTTGAGTAAGATCAACCTACGAGCTAGAAGCGTGGTAAATACTATAGCCCGCTTCATTCCTTAAGGCAAGTTAGAAGTAGGGGGGATGCCAAAGATTGCAGACATTCGATTAGGGACAACCAGAGAACCATATGCTTCAGACAGTGATTTAAATATCCCTGTCCAGAATATATTCAACTTGGGACATGACCAAAACATGTGTGAGTGATTGGCAGGCGAGAGTTTACATCTGCCACAGGCATCATTTACTGAAGAATAACTTTTTGCTAGTCGTGAATTGGTATAGTGAGCCCTGCAAACAGCTTTGGATTGAATTAGTCTATAGCGGGCACAGATGGAAGATTAATAAATTAAAGCCAGTGCAGATGTCCATTGTTGTTCTGTGAATACAATGTTAAGACTCTTCTCCCAGGCTGTTTTAACTGCATTTGCGGGTGTTGAGGTTTCTGACTAAATAAGCTTATAGAGTATAAAAATACATCCTCTAAAATTAGGATCAATTACGAGAAGAGAGTCTAATAAGGTTTCTGGAGGGCGATTCGGAAAGTAAGGGAACAACTTCTTAACATAGTCACGAACTTGGAAAAAACAAAAAAAGTTGTGTTTTGGAAGATGGTACACTATGGTATACTATGGTATAACTGTTAGAAAGAAGAGAAAATGTTTTCAGAATAGATATCTACTATTGACTTGATACCACTATCATGCCAGATTTTATATGCTAAATCTTGGGACGGTTCAAACATACAGTTTTTAAACACTGGTGTCAGGGCGGATGGATTTGAGAGGCCAAACTGTTTCCTAAACTGGTTCCATATTTTCAAAGAAGTGGATGCAACAGGGCAAGTAGTTAAACATTGTAGAGGAAGTTGTGAGCACAAGACTGAACAAAGTGAGAATGGACAGCACTTCTTCTCCAACTATACCCAGACTGGCAAAGGGTCTTCCTCCTTCATCCAAAACAACAATTTCTGTGCATTAGCAGCCCAATAATAATATCTAAAAACCGTGAGGGCAAATCCTCCCTTCTCCTTGGGAGATTGTAAAACTGATCGGCGAATTCTCGCAGGCTTCCCAGCCCATAAAAAATTTGAAATCATTGTGTCCAATTTTACAAAAAATTGACTTATTTAGAAAAAGTGGAAGGTGTTGAAACATATAAAGAAATTTGGGGAGAACCACCATCTTCACTAAGCTTATTCGGCAGCGAGCGAGATAGGTAACGTTGACCAGCGAGCAAAATCAGCTTCTATCCTCTCCATCAAAGGAGTAAGGTTTACTCTATAGAGGTCAGAAAGCGATTGCACAATTTGAATACCCAAGTATCGAAAACCATTATTAGACCAACGGAACGGTACTGTTGAGGGAGGGAGCTTTTTAGCGGCATCATTAATGGGCAAAAGTTAGCTTTTTTGGTAATTAAGTTTGTAGCC